CACACACACACACACACACACACACACACACACACACACACACACACACACAAGCAAATCTTTAATGAATACAGAGTCAGAGGATTTATGCTTTGTCACTCTGCTTCACATTTCTTCTCTGGCTGGAATACAAAGTTAATAATTTCAGAGCTTGGTTATAAATACGGTCTGTGCTGCAACAACGAGAAGAATCCCCGCAAGAGAACCCACTCCAGCGATGACACAACAGTTAGGTCTTTTGGTAAGTGACGAGGAAATCTCCTGTTTCTTTATTATTTTTTTGTGTGTTTTCATGCAGCCACTTGTCAGGTAATCTTAAAAAGTGGTTTTGATCTTTGTTCTTCAGACTTTCTGAATTGTTTTGTTCAGTTTAACTTTATTCAGTTTTTTTTTACCTGAAAACAACTGGTCCTACTGTAGCTAAAACAAGTCCAGTCCTGGTCCGGCAGGATCACTGTCCTTCGTGCTTTACTTGTGTCCCTGCTCCAACACACCTGATTCTGTGACTGAATTACCTCTTCAAGTTCTGCAGAAGCCTGTTAATCATCCATTCATTCAAATCAGGTGTGTTGGAGCAGAGAAACCTCTAAATCTTGCAGGATTGTGGCCCTCCAGGACCAGGACTGGACACCCCCTCAGTATGAGAAAAGTAAACAAGCGCAGGACAAAACAAGGAAAAAATAAGATCTACAGCAAATGGATTTCATATCTTTAAGAAAAAAAATCTATTAGAAATCTGACAGAACCTGAGAATTAACTAACCTTCAGTGACTTTTTTTTAGCTCATACCTCTGTAATCACTTTGTTGTTGCTAAAATTACTTTTCATGTCTCAAACTGAGCTATTTTTAGTCATTTACATAGAATCAAACAAAGAAATGAGAACAAGTTTATACTTTTGGCAGGCTGCTGCAGTTACAAAGGGACTAAAGATCCTATTTAAAATAGCTTTTAGTGAAAATTTTTTACACTTGAATGTTTCTGGTCAGGGTTAAACAGCTTCACAAACAGAAACCTTTAAAATGATCAGAAGCCACAATTAAAATTAAACACCTTCAGAGAACTTGAAAACATATTGCTCAAAGCTTTTAGAAGCTTTAGAAAACGCAGTAAAAGAAAAGAAGAAAAGAAAAGCCTAACCCTACTGTATCATTTTAAGTAAGTAAGTAAGTAAGTAAGTAAGTAAGTAAGTAAGTAAGTAAGTAAGTAAGTAAGTAAGTAAGTAAGTAAGTAAGTAAGTAAGTAAAGTTTTATTCATAAAGCGCCTTTCACAGAAATATATCCACAAGGTGCTGTACAATCATTAACAATGTGAAAAAGGTGGAAAGATAAAATGAAACAGAATATAATATTATATAATAATAATATAATATAATAATATTATAATAATTATATAAAACATAAGCAACATAACGAAACATCAAACCAAGATTAAATTCAAATATTGTAACTCAGACACACGGTCAATGCAGAGCAAAATATACAATAATACAAAAAAACATAGAGAATGGGGGAGATCTAACATATTTTAACATGATTTTCTCTCTTTGCTCCATGTTTGCAGCTGGACCATCCTGTTGTTATTGCAGCCATTTTTATCACAGCTGTCGGTGGGACGTTTCAGTATGGATTCTGTATTTCTGTCATGACGTCCCCTTCTGCTGTAAGATTGACTTTGTAACTTCAGTTTTCAATAAAGAAAAGTTCATTTTTGTGTAAGATCCCAAACTCTTCAGTAACATATACAGACGTGTTTCTGTTTTTCAGTTCATAAAGGAGCTGGTGAATGAAACCTGTGTGCACAGATACAATCTCTCCTCAGAGCAATGGCAGGTCAGTCTCATCTGGTCCTTCACTGTCTCCATTTTCTGTGTTGGGGGGGTACTGGGGTCACTGGCGGCTGGTTTCCTCACCACTAAATTTGGCAGGTTGGTGCACAAAGTTAAAAGCCACATAAATGTTTATTGACTAAATAAAGAGTTGGAAGCTCTGTGCTTCTCTGATTTGCAGAAAGAAGTGTCTTTTGTTGAACAACGTTGTGACTGTAATCGGAGCCATTTTGATGCTTCTGAGCCGGACCGCCATGTCCTTTGAGATGATAATGGTGGGAAGATTTCTTTACGGGATCAACGCAGGTAGTTTCTTTTGGATTTGTTTCTCATTTCACCTCACAGATCCTCAGCTGGTGTCTCGTTCTCCTGTGTGTTTCTCTGCAGGAGTTGGTCTCTCAGCTCATACAATGTATCTTAATGAATGTACCCCCAAGAAGCTGTGGGCGATGGTGGGCGTGAGTGTGTCGACCTTCGTGTCTTTGGGGAAGTTCTGCGGCCAGCTGCTGGGAATCCGGTGAGCTTCAGTCTGTTGTCACGAGTCGAGTCGTCTCTTTTCTGTGTTTGAAATGCTTCATCCTAACGTTTGCAGAGAGCTCCTCGGCACAGAGCAGAACTGGACCTGGCTGCTCGGTTTCAACGGTTTCACCGCCCTCTTCCAGATCCTCACTCTACCCTTCCTGCCGGAATCGCCAAGATTCCTGTTGCTGGAAGCGGGAGATTTCCAGGCCGCTGAAAAAGGTGTCAGTTTGTTTATTTCAAACATATATAAAATAATAACAAAATTTTTTAAAGAATTTGAGAAAGAATGGAAAGAAGCAAGGAGGTATTCATTCCCATCCTTCTCCAAACTTATTAAAAATAATAAATTCTCCTGTTCTCTTTAGTTAAATGTGTTACAACAACACCTAATTTCCCTCAGGGATCAATAAAGTATTTTTGAATTTGAATTAAAATGAAATGAATGAACATATTCCAAGGGACAAATTTTTCCTTGCTCTGCCCCCCTTCATTCAGAACCTTTTCCTCTCTTTTTCTTTTAATTATTGTATATACATTTTATCTTTTGAGAGAAATAAAGAAAAATCTGTCATTTTTTCAGTAAAAAATCATCCGTTTACTTACTGTTCTACATATCAGTTGTATAATGATTACAAAACAGATCATTGATGAGTTACTAATAAATGACTATATAACTAACTATGCATTACTACCATTAATCATTCACCTATATTCATATAGACACACAAATCTACATAAAACCATGTAGCATACATATAAAGAGGACCAAAACTGACAGAATTAGAAATAAATAAATAAACTTAAAATGCATCAATTACATAAAACAGGAAAAGTTTATATCATGTTTTATAATTTAATTGACTTTCATATCATTTTTCCAGCTCAGTTCCAATAAATTATATATTTTAACACATAATTTACATTTTACTGTTTTTAAAAATTTGCGTTTAGTTTTTTACTTGTATTG